TCTGCTTTGCTTTAGGGCAATTTGTGTTAATAAAGAGTGAGGGGTCCAGAGATTCAGAGAACTTGGCTACTATAGCTAAATCTCCTCTGGCACCCCCATGTATTCCAAATTTATATTTCCAGTCTCTTTATTAATTTTCACACCACCCTTCTCCAGATTCCTGAACCCTTCTAGATGCTGAGAAACACCCCAGCATACACTACCACTACTCTATCCCAAAACAACCTCTTCTCTTGCTTAGAGCACTGCAGTAACCTCCTAACTGGTTTCTCCACTAACAACGTTGGCTTCTTCCAAGCCATTCTCCATAATAAAATCAGCTCATATTATATCCTGCTTAATATCCATCAAAAGTTTCCCTTAGACTACAACCCAAATACCTTACCATAGCTATAGGTCCCATGCCTTCCTTTCAGATATTATTTGCTGCCATTCCCTTATATCTCACCAGTATTTTATTCCTTGATTACACCATTCTTTTCTAAGTTAAGGACTGCGTATGTCTGTGTTTCTATTCCTGGAATGTTCTTTCCCAATATTCACATTGCCTCACCTTTGCTTTCTTTAGATCTTAATGACAATTTCAGAGGACCTCCTTGACTACTTGACCTAAAGTAGCTGCCCATTTTGTTCTTTGTTTTAGTGCTTATTACAATTTACGATTATTTTATTTATGTACTAGAGGCCCGCTGCACAAAATTTGGTCACAGATAGGGTCCCTAGGCCTGGCCAGCGATCAGGGCCAATCTGTGGGGTGACTGGTGGGGCGATCAGGGGACCCCGCCGGCACCTACCTTGGCCAGCCTGGCGCTGCCTCATCACCAGCTTTGCGCTCTGCTGCCACCACTGGTTACCTCCCTCTGCGGGGCGACCGGCGGGGCAATCGGGAGGCCCCTGTTGGCAGCTGCCTTTGCTGGCCTGGGGCCTTCAGTCTGGGGGCAGCTTCTGTGTTGAGCGTCTGCCCCCTGGTGGTAAGTGCACATCATAGTGACCGGTCATTCCGCTGGTTGTTCCACCGTTCAGTTGATTTGCATATTAGGCTTTTATTATATAGGATATTTTCCTTCCCTTTGGTCTACCAACATGAGACAGTAGTATTCATAATGACAGAAACTGAGTCTGCCTTGTTCACTATAGCAAAACCAGTGTTTAGCACAGTGCCCAACACATAATAGAAGCACAATAAATGTTTATGGGATGAATGAATAAATACTTGTTTGCACATATACATAAGCAGACATATATAAATGACAGATACACATAAACACAGATGCATATATTAATTTGCAACATATGCATGTTTATGCACATAGGTATACACACACCCAAATCTACAAGTACATGGGTATATGCAGATAGAAAACAAATGTAATAGGTACATAGAGAATATGGGAAGAAAATGCCACAATATTCACAGTCATTATCTCTGTATGGGGAATTTGTTTTTTGTTTTGTTTTTCTTTTTTTAAATTTTGTTTTATTGCTTAAAATATTACAAAGAGTGGTATATATGTCTCTTTTTCCCTTTTGTTTTTCTTATAATTTCTTCTAGCTTTTCTGCAATAAGAATACATTTGTTATAATAAAAAGTTGTTAAAATTCAACATAGCTGTCAAATCAAAGTACATCTTATTTTATAACAAATTAAGGAGATTTAAGTAAAGAAAAAAATTAAAGAAAATAGAAGTAAAAGTGTTAGAATGGAAAGTCATTGAGTACACAGGAAATGAGTTCCTAGCACAGTGCCTGGGATATGATGGGTATTTTAAAAGGCTTTATGAAAGCGTGAGAGGAAGAAAGGAAGGAGAACGAGGTAAAAAGAAGGGAGACAGAGCCCAGCAGATGTAGGATCCATCGATGATGTTTCTCTCTCATCTACCAGTAGCTCTCTATCCCTCTCCCTTCCTCTCTCTCTAAAAAAATCAATAAAAGTGTGTGTGTGTGTGTGTGTGTGTGTGTGTGTGTGTGTGTTTAAAGGGAGACAGAGAAAGCCAGGGAACAAAAGAACAAGAAAGGAATAAAAGAAAGAATAAGCATAGCTAGAGAGAAAACATGGGTGAGGAAAGATTTGTTTTTAAACAGGGATTATCTTTCACATTCTTCGAGGTTTCAATTTTATGATCAAAGTTCTCCGTATTTACCAAGCATTTGGTAAATATTTTTAGAGCATTAGCCAATAGATAGAACTTACCGGCTCCACAATATTGAACTTCTTGGACTCCTGAACTTCCTGGATTTGATAAACATAATCAAGGGAGGACTCAAAAAAAATGTGCCTCTCCTTGTCCACCTGCAGGTCTGCCTGTGTAAGAAGGGTAGCAAATGTTACAAATCGGCATAGTCATTCATGCAAGTCAGTGCTTATGGGATCAACAGAATGCTAGAGCTAGAGGAGACTTTAGCCACCAAGTAGTGATCTTATTTCTTTGTTTTACAATTAGGGAACATGAAGCCAAGAGAAAAGGTGATTGACACAAGACTTCTGTTTCTGGTCCTATAAGTAAGAAGCCTGTAAGTTGTCATGTCCATTGTCATTCATGAAAAAAGCTGAACAAGGTAAAAAATCAACAACTCCTCTTAGATCCAACAGAGAATTGAAATCAGAGAGAACAATATCTCAAAAACTGTATAGACACTTGAATATGGAGAATCAAAGCTGGTCCTGCAGCCTATATCCGATATTTAAGAACTCTTTAGTAGGTCCAAGAAGGTGGCATTTGTGAACAGCTATTATCTGAACAGCCACACACTGCCTCTTAGACTCACAGTCTCACATCATAGCGGTATCTGAGTTCTCCAGCTCAGCGGCTTCTCCTGTCTCTTCTGCCCAGCTGCTCTCTCTAGCAGACTTCTTCACACTCTTCATCCTAGATGCTCTCTCTCCGTACTCCAGCAGACTTCTTCACACTCCAGCCAACTAGCTGGTCAGTAACTTACTTTTACACTATTTAGACAAAGAAGGCTTCATGCCAACAGTGACATCAATCATAGTGGCTACTGAAGGGCAGTGTACCGTATGTCCTTGGACCCACTCATGGTATCTTGGCCTGATTAGGATTCCCAGACTCAGAGTCCTTGGATGTTTCGATTAGGCTCATGCCCAGAGTGGCCTTTGGCCATTCTGGTGTACTGATAATAAGGCCTCTGTGCTCCCACAAGCCTTGACTATCCAGGGAGCTGGCATGGTTCCCACAACTCATCACCTTGAAACGCCTCACATGATGTGATGTATACTCACTAAATCAGGTGTCTGGGATGACCTTCAACTTTGCCACAATGTGTGTGAGCTTGGAGAGGATGATTTCTAAGAACTTTAACAGCAGTTATCTATTACCTTAATCAATTGGGTATCTGTAAATATCTCTATATGGTACTGGATTTTCCACTTAAAAAAGTCTTAATCAATTAAGTCCTTCTTTCCCTTCCCCAGTGTTACTCTTCTGACTCAGACCCTCTCCCCTAGCTCATTGCAATGTTTCCTAAATTGGTTTTCCTGTTTCCAGTCTCTCCCTGATCTAATTCACTGTATAGCCCCAGCCAGGTTAAGATTCCTAAAATAAAATTCCACTCATATTGCTTGCACAATCAAAGGCCTTCAATGATCCTTCCAGGTCCAATACAAACTCCTGAGCCTATTACTCCACTATATAGCCTCAACTTGCCTAATCTTAGCTTGTCTTTCATCGCCTTCCCGTAGTAATGCAAATTCTGGTCAAAATGTTTTCCATTCTTTGTGCCATTGCCTTCCACTAGAAGGGTCCATTTCTCCATTTCTATCCATCAAATATTTTACCTATTATTGAATGACCACCTTAAATTGGAAAGCAACATTCTTCCACAAAGGCCATTCTCCACATTCAAAGTTTTTTATTCTCTAAATACTTTCCCACCCCTACAAGGACACCACATACACATACATATTATAGTATGGAACAATTCTACCTGTACAAGAGTCATGTGTATTCTTATCCAAATGGTATGCTGCAGAAGGGCATTATTTTCTTTGTAGTCCTGCTGCACCCAGCATGGAACTTGACATGCTGTAGGCACTCACCAAATAGTGACTTCTTTGAACTGAAATCAATGCAAGTCCCATATAAGCTATAGTCCCAGTGCAGAACCAAAAAATAACTAATGTTGGAATACCTCAGAAGGAAAAAATACATCTGTTGCTGACCCACCAAATACAACACTGCTTTAACTCTATCCTCATGTGGAATATGGAATCAGAAACTTAGAACTGAAAGGGATTCTGGAGATCGGTGAGTACCACTCCTCCTTTGACAGATAGGGGAACGCAGACCAAGAAAGAAGTATGTTATTCAAAATCATACAGTGAATCAGTGGAGGAGCTGGGTTGAGAACTCAGGACAGCTGGGTCCGAGGCCATGGTTTTAACTGCAAGAAATACTATCATACATGATTCTCGGTTGAGGCAGGGTACGAGGAAAGCATTGCAATAGGAAGCTACCACAAGGTATAGCTGGCAATGGAAGGGGGAACATGTTTTTTAACATACCTCTTGTAACTGAGATTCTTTCTTTTTGGAAGACAGATGTAAGTGTCGATCCAACAAAGAATAAAACCTCTCACCATCCTTTTCAAATTTCTTTTTCCGCTCCTAGACATGGAAGAGAAGGCACAGATTAAGATGTCTATAGTTTTAATTCCATTTACTCAAAACTGAGAACGCAGGGCACAGTAACAGGTTTCATGTGGCCAATCTCTCTATTTCCTGGGAAGAAAAAAAAATAGCTAGAGAGTATTTGCTTTTGCATTGGTCTTGGTAGTTTTGACTTCCACAAATATAGCCCTCAATGGCTCCAACTAGACAAAGAGCAGTTCCTACCAGTACAGCTAAAGGATATGGGAGCTGCTGCTCAGAGAATGACATTTGAAAATGGGCCTGAATGCTGGGTACTTTTATTCTCCCCAGTTTTTTTCATAGTCATTAACTACTCATTTGATTTTTTTAAAAGGAGGAAGAAGGAACACAGTAGTGAACCAAATATATGCCTTTAGAAGGTTAATCTACAATGTATTCAGACAACATAATAATAAGTAAAACATTTCCAAGGCAATAGGTTCTTTGGTATTGTTTAAGCATTTCACTGATGCATATTAAAAGATGATGTTATAGATGATTAAAATATCCTGAAAGGTTTAGCTGGAAAGCAAGAGTTGGAAAATTTTATGGGGGAATGGAGGACTCAATTGTCACTCTCCTCAAGTATGAAATTCCATTAAGCTCTCAGCCTCTCAGCACAACAGCCTCCAAAGGAACACTAGCCATGCTTGTTTGTCATTGACTAATGCTGACACCCTGAAATCCTGTCAGCAATGTGCTGGAAAATTCAAATAAAAGGCTTGTGTTGTCTCACAGAAAATCCAAATTCATTGAGCACCTGCAGTGTGCCAGGTACTGGAAGAGGCACAGCAGAGGATACAGATAAAAAGAAAAAAAAATACCTCAACCCATGGTTTATTTCTAGAGGCCATCTGTTGTTAGGCAGGAAGCCAGGACAGAACTGAGTGACCTGACTTGTAAGGAATGTGCTTTTACCAGAGGGAAAGAAATAGAGAGGAAGCTAACATTAAGTGAAGCCTACATCAGTCCAGGCAGTGTGCTAGGTATTTAAATTCCATGATCTCATTTAGTATTCACAATGTTGAGAAGTAGATATTGTAAAGGAAATTAAGGTTTAAAAAAGGTGAACTAACTTGTCCAAGGTCACATAACATGCAGATCTATCCAATTCATTCAACATAGTCAAATAAAACCCTAATGATTATTAGAGAAATTACACTTAGGTGGCTTATAAGTAATCAGGAAGCCTTGTGAGTAAACCTCAAGTAGGTCTACAGCCGGAGCCCCAACTCAGATACCAAAACACAGGACAGAGATTTTCACACAAAAGATAGGGCAAACTGTCCTTCCAGCTGCTGAATCTACTTAAAGTAGCAATTGTTTGAAGAAAACATAGCAGCCAGAAAAGTAGCAAAGACTTTTGTGGGTGACTTTCTATTCCACTTCCATTTTTAAAATAAAAACTATGAGATATTAAAAAAAAAAACTATGAGATATAATTCACCTATAAAATTCAACCCTTGTTTAAAGGGACCATTCAGGACATTTTAGTATACTTAGAAAGTTGTACCACCATCACTGCTATCTAATTTCAAAATATTTCCATCACCTAAAAAAAGAAAGCCCATACCTATTAGCAGCCATTCCCCACATTCTCCCACTCCCTGTCTCAAGAAACCACAACTGGACCCCGAGAACCAAGATGGTGGCATAGGTTAACGCCGGAGTTTGCTGCCTCGAACAACCACTTCAAAAATACAACTAAAAGACGGAACGGACATCACCCAGAACCACAGGAAGGCTGGCTGAGGAGAGATTCTACAACTAGAAGGAAAGAGAAATCCATACCGAGACTCAGAGGAGGCGCAGTGCGGAGGTGAAATACTAAGGTGCGGAGTGCATGTGGAGCGGGCCGGCGGAGGGTGTGGATGTTGTTTTCAATCGGGAGGGAGTTTCAGACTCTGAGCTCCAGATCCGGGCGAGTCTCTAGGGACCCAGACTCAAACAGGAGAAGCGGGAAGGCAGCTTTCTCTCCGAGGTTTGCAGCGGTTGTAGAGCCGCTGGGGACGGAACTGAGAGCACCCATAACTGCTCGCTCCGCCTGCCCTGTAGATCCCCTGGGACCCGCCCCGCCCAAGCCCTGCACAGAGGCATTTGCCGGATAGCCTCAGGCAAAGGCTAGATTAGCACCGCCCCAGAGATTCAGCACAGAAGCTCTCCCACTGCAGACACAGCTGACTCTCATAGCCAGTTAGCCTGGAGGTCAATTCACCCCTAGTATTGCCGACAACAATTAAGGCTTAACTACAACAAGACTTCGCACAAAGACCACAAGGGGGTGCACAAAGAAAGCATAAAAAATGCGGAGACAAAAAAACATGACAGAAATGGAGGATATAGAGCTAAAAAACGCACTTTTGAGGGCTTTCAATAATTTGTTAGAAACTGCCGATAAACTTGATGAGAGCCTCAAGAAATCTAATGAGACCCTCGATGTTGTGATAAAGAACCAACTAGAAATTAAACATGCACTGACTGAAATAAAGAATATTATACAGACTCCCAACAGCAGACCAGAGGAGCGCAAGAATCAAGTCAAAGATTTGAAATGCGAAGAAGCAAAAAACACCCAACTGGAAAAGCAAAATGAAAAAAGAATCCGAAAATACGAAGATAGTGTAAGGAGCCTCTGGGACAGTTTTAAACGCACCAACACCAGAATTATAGGGGTGCCAGAAGATGAGAGACAGCAAGATATTGAAAACGTATTTGAAGAAATAATGACAGAAAACTTCCCCCACCTGGTGAAAGAAATGGACTTACAGGTCCAAGAAGCGCAGAGAACCCCAAACAAAAGGAATCCAAAGAGGACCACACCAAGACACATCATAATTAAAATGCCAAGAGCAAAAGACAAAGAGAGAATCTTAAAAGCAGAAAGAGAAAGAGACTCAATTACCTACAAGGGAATACCCATACGACTGTCAGCTGATTTCTCAACAGAAACTTTGCAGGCCAGAAGGGAATGGCAAGAAATATTCAAAGTGATGAATAGCAAGAACCTACAACCAAGATTACTTTATCCAGCAAAGCTATCATTCAGAATTGAAGGTCAGATAAAGAGCTTCACAGATAAGGAAAAGCTAATGGAGTTCATTACCACTAAATCAGTATTATACGAAATGCTGAAAGGTATCCTTTAAGAAGAGGAAGAAGAAGAAAAAGGTAAAGATACAAATTATGAACAACAAACATGCATCTATCAACAAGTGAATCTAAGAATCAAGTGAATAAATAATCTGATGTACTGAATGAACTGGTGATTATAATGAATCAGGGACATAGAAAGGGAATGGACTGACTATTCTTGGGGGGGGAAGGGGTGTGGGAGATGCGGGAAGAGACTGGACAAAAATCGTGCACCTATGGATGAGGACAGTGGGTGGGGAGTGAGGGCGGAGGGTGGGGCGGGAACTGGGAGGAGGGGAATTATGGGGGGGAAAAAAGAGGAACAAATGTAATCTGAACAATAAAGATTTAATTAAAAAAAAAAACACAACTGACTTTCTGTCTCCATGGATTTATCTACTACAGACATTTCAGATAACTGGAATCATACAATATGTGAATGTCTTCTTACACTTGGCATAATAGTTTCAAGGTTTACCCATTTATCAGTACTTCATTCCTTTTTATGGCTAAGTAATATTTGATTGCATAGATATACCACATTTTCTTTTTTTTCCTATGATGTTTTTTCTTTATTGATTAAGGTATTACATGTGTCCTTATTGCCTCATTGCCCCCCACCCCCCAACTCATGCCCTCACCCTCCTTTCTTTTCTTTTTAAAATATTTTATTAACGTTTTAGAGAAAGAGGGTGAGGAAGGGAGAGAGAGATATGGATGTGAGAGCGAAACTTAAATTGGCTGCCTCCTGCACACCCCATACCAGGGATGGAGCCTGTAACCTGAGCACATGCCCTAACCGAACAGAAAAGGATGCCCAACCAACTGAGCAACATTGGCCAAGGTATGCACCACATTTTCTTTAATATCAATTAAGCATAAATATATATGTTTATTTATGGACTCTCAGTTCTATTCTATTGATCTATATGTCTATTTTTATGTTGACATCACAGTCTTCATTTCTATAGTTTTGTAGTAAGCTTTAAAATTAAAAATTGTGAGTCTTTTTCAAGATTTCTTTTTCTATTCTGGTGTTTTCTTCATGGATTTTAGGGTCACCCTATCAATTTGAACAAAATGATCAAAAGGGATTTTGCTAGATATTGCACTGAACCTATAAATCAATTTGTGAGTACTACCATCTTTACTACATTAAGTCTTCCAATTCATGAATATGGAATGTCTTCCTACTTATCTATTTATTTAGGTTTTTCTTAATTTCTTCCAATAAAATTGTGTAAAATCTTGTACTTCTTTTGTTAGATTTATGCCTAAGTACTTTAATATTTTCATACTACTGTAAATAAGATCATTTTCTTAATTTAATTTTCAAATTGTTCATTAAGTGTTTATAGAAATAGTTTCAGGTGTGCAACATAGTGGTTAGACCATCAAATACTTTACAAAGTGTTGTGCCCAATATTTCCAGTACCCACCTGGCATCAAAACTGTAACTGAGGAGTAAAATTTATGGTAAAAAAATATATAGAAATATATTTTATTTTTGTATAATGATCTTGTATCCTGCAATATTGTATCCTAACTCCTTTATTAGTTCTAATAGTATGTGAGTATGTGGTGTGTATGTGTGTGTGTGTGTGTGTGTGTGTACTCCTTAATATTTTCTATACACAAAATCAAGTCATATGCAAATAAACATAGTTTTACTTCTGCCTTTCCAATGTTGGCTAATTACCTAGGATAGAACCTCCAGCATAATGTTGAATGGAAGAGAAAAGAGTACATACCCTTGTATTATTTTTAAACTTAGAAATATTTTAGTTTTTCACTATTAAATATGATACTAGCTGTGGGATTTTTTTGTATCAGCCATTTATCAG